ATGTTTTAAATAATTAAATACATATTAAATTAGAAAATAACGAATTGAGTGTAATACTAGGACCTTAAAAGCTCCAGGAAAAAAAATCAGGCAATTTTATTTTTTATGCATATTTCCTATTGGATAAAGAAACTAGGATTTGGATTTAAATCAATATACAAATGTCAAGAAGTTATGGAAAGCAGAAGAATAGTGGAATTGCGATTGATGATTTTCAAGTAATCATCTCGTCAATAAACAGGTACTCACCTCATCTTGCTGAAACCTAATATCAGTTGAAAACTCATTCGGGTTTGACAATTTTCAATACCGATTGACAGGCAAAGATCCCTTAGAAGAACCCACTAGATCACCTGATATGACCCCTTTGGATGTTTAAAGGGGATTCGTAACAATTCATTTCAGTACATTTCAAAATGTACCTCAACACTTCGCAGAGTAGTTCAAAAGCGAGAAAAGCAATAGTGAAATAGTAAAATATAATGTAATTGAAGTAATGTTTCATTGTGATTTATGTTATCGAATAGAATACATTTTGAAGAATCGTACCACTTATTTATCATCAAAATGACTGACGTTTTTGCCTTAATATGTCTCTTGCAGTGGCGTACGGAACAGATATGGAAAAATTATGGTAAAATATATAGAATCACAACCTTGAGAACAATGTTTTCGTTTTAATGCAGTGATATTCGTGAGAATTAAGTGCCTACTATTATGGAATTGTACTTTTTTTAATAACACAATGAATTCATTTAAGGTGCTTTCATCAGGGCATTTGTAGTCTACCAATTATTGTACATAGTATTTATCTGAGTATCTTTTCAAGTCAACTGGCAGTGTAAAAACAACATCCTCTAGTTTACCTTTCAAATAGTATTTCTCCTCGCTATTTGTTTGATCTCTAGACGGGGTTACGTTCATATAAACCGTGTCTTCTGCCAAGTTTTTCGATTGACATTCAAGGAGCGGCATACATCAACATATTTTAACCGATGGTAATTAGCCGTCCAAATTGGCGCATCAAAATGAAGAGATCGTTGCTCCCGTTGGTGACCAAAACGATGAGCTGTGAGAGTTGTCCAGCATTCCAACGGTCTTTGTGTCTGGCAATACCTACGCAATTTCAAATATAAGGAGAATAATGTATTAGTCCATTGAAAAGTTACATTTAGGGTTGCATTTTTCAGAGGACGCATTGTTTTTTTCATGTTTAGGGGGTTTAGATTCAAGTTCAAGTTTGTGAGGTCCCCCTGGTGGCCATCTTGGAACAGGGGGACATTATTTGTAGCAAATTGAATTGTCAACAACTTTATTCCCATTACTTCTTGTCGTAAAATAGAGAATACAGAAACAGAAATAACTGTAAATTTTTGAACAAATTTTCTTTTGGGCGGCATATTTTTTTCTGGTTATCAAACAATAAAATGACATCCGAACAGTCTTATAGAAGGTTTTTCAACAAATAATTTTCACTACAAATTTGTTTGAGGGGATTTTTTATAGCTTGTCATGAGATGCTGTTGGATTTTTAGAAGGTCACCATTTCTTGTATTATGACTGTGATCTGAAGCAGTCTTATCATATAATTTATTGTTTTGCCTATCAAATGAAATACATTCAAGAACGAAAATGGCTGGGGCTGTCAATATTTTTTGTCTATAAAGACATTCTTAGTCCCGGGACTTTCCAGTCCATGTCGAGTTGCTGTTAGATTAAGTCGCATCCTGCTCAATTTGAAGCAGTCAAAGTGAAGTTTCGGGTGCATAATAGGTCAAGTATAACTGAGAGTTTTGCAAAAACTTTTGTCGAACTTGGCCCCTTTTCTGCAAGATTCCCTTGTGAGATACTCCGATACGTAGTTGTTTCATCTTTCTTAATGGAAACAGGAAAGTTGAGAGTTTTATACTGTGTTTGAACTGCCATCACCCTATTTACAACATTGCTACCCCTTCAGGCTTAAAACAGTTTGATTATTAATCTGTTTTCCCCCCTTCTCTTTGTTACACTGCCAGTTTTGCGAGATGGATGAATTCATGAATGCGTTTCTAAGAGATTAACATCAACCAAATTACCAGGCCGATTGAGCTGTTCCTGTAGCTTTGGGCAACTTTAAATTAGATTATGTTTCAATTTGAAACCCCCTCGAGTCACTTTATCGATAATTTATCTTTCCGGTTTGTCTGAGACCGAAAACAAATATTTTCTTTCGATAAGATACTATAAAGAAATGTAGGAACAACAGTATTATATGTTTAAATTTGCTTCAAACAGATAGTCCACTTCTAGTGTCATCAAATATTTCAAATAGATTCGATTCTGTTGCTAGATAGACGACTTGAATGATCTCTTTGTGATGATTTGAATATTTTTAAGGCATGCTAGTTTATTATCCTGTTCTTATTGCTTGATGGCTAATACATATGTACAACATGAATTAGATGTAATCAAACTTTGGTGTAATAATAATCGTCTACAACTGAACGTATCCAAATGTAAAATAATATCAATTACAACTAAAAGGCGAACTTTAATGTTCGATTAATCAATCAACAATACTACAATCAATCAGGTACATGAGATAAAAGATCTTGGTATAACATACGACAGTAAATTATAACACATATAAGGAATATGACTGCTGATGCAAATAGGATGCTTGGATTCATTTACAGAAATGGCAAGAACTTCAAAAGTATTGACGCCTTGAAATTGCTATATTTTGCGTATGCCAGATCGATTCAAAACCAAATTTTTGAGCATATATTGTTCTCTGAAATATCCTTCAACAACCGACGTATGCTTCCATCCACCAAGGCGCTTCAACGCCTTGACTAAGCTAAAATTTTCAATGGTTAAATATATTTTGACTTTTGACATATTTTCATTTTAGCCTCTCATGTACTTGACCAGATGACCAGTCTTATATCACTTCTGTGTTCTTGAAAGATTGATGGATTCACAAGTCTGCAACAAAAAAACTATCAGGATGTTTTAAACTGATTTTCATGTATTGGGGTGTTCTGAAGATTAAAAAAACACTCAATACATTCAGAATGCAAAACGCAAAATTAAATTATAAAAAATGGTTTTTTGGGCTAACTTGAAGTCATAAATAAATAGGTTCATTTTTACTAAATTGATGGACGTAGCCGTTACTACGTGGTAGGAAATCATTATGAAGAAGAGAATCGAAATTTCCTACGTTTTTCACCACTTTTATTTGTAAATAACGTTACTGCAGTTCCGTCCTGGACATTTTCAAACTTATACATTAAACTAAAAATGATTGATTACAGTANCACGGAACTATTGCTCAAAGGAATATATTAATTTGTCAACAATAGATTAAAAAGCGGACAAATTACCCATTTCTTGATTTCTGATTGTTTGATCTGAGGGTATATTAATCAGTTCGTGAATTTACAGCTTTGTTGTACTGAATAACTTCAGGATTGTATCTGCCATTATTATAACCATTATTATGGCCTATCTGTGTAATTATTTTAATTTCCCTAGCTAGATTGTTAGCAGACAAAGGCTAACAACCAAATTTGCTTAAAGTCGAAGACATAATTAATGCTTTTGGCGTACCCTGTATAATCAAACTTCACCAATGTGATTTCTTCTTCTCTTTTTTTATGGTTTTTGCTTCCCTTACGGCGCAGTAGACCAAACGTCATTTAATGAAGGATTCCATTGTTTTTCTGTTCGACGAACCGCGTCAAAATTGACGGACTCGTGATCATCGATGATTTCGATTTCTGAATCTTTGTTCTGATCGTATTATTTCTTTTTCAGGCGATATCGAGAAAGTCACGTTCTTCTTCGGTCCCGTGGGTATTCTGGTCTTCGTCAATTTGTTGCTGTTCGGTCTCACGGCCAGAGAATTGACTTGCGGTCTGTGGAAGAGAGAGCTGGTCAAGTCTACAACTGAAAGGTAAGAATGCCGATGGTTTTTCTGGACATCATTAGGAAAATTAATATTTAGAAACATTCGTTTCTCCCAACGGACCTACACATTAGGTTCTGGTAAATCTGATCTGATACAAAGCGTGTCTGCTTTTAGTCGTAAGCTGGATATCTTTGAAAATGATATCGTTAAACAAGAATTTATTCATTTTTCGACAATCCTTGAATTTAAAAGGAAACCTCTTAAGAAGAAATTGCAGAGTTTGTTGAATTTCTGGCCGATCTCAAGAACGAATTTGCTACAAGATTCCAAGACTTTGCAGGGATAGGCAGCAGAATGGACAGATGTAGCTGCCAAGTTGTTCAATCTGTCAAAGGCATCACTTCAAATAGAGATAATTGATTTGCAAGATGTGTCTTTGCAAATGTATAGAACGGTATCCACTAGAAGAAGAAAGT